CATTAGTCATCATTGTGACAGTTGGCAGAGCATAGACTGGGTTGGTTGGTCTGCACAGTTCTCGTAATTCAACGTCAGGTGGTTTTCCTATCATGGATGATTCTAAGCTTTTTAAACATAGAAATACGCTTACTTATGACGTGATTAGCTTTTGTGGTACTGCCGAATCGAAAGAGAATGGAACAGGATGCTCTAGTCTTCGTGCCACATACAAAGAGTGCGGCAATCCACACTCTTCTGAGAGAGCACTTTTAACAGGCTTTAGGTTTGTGCCATCAGCGGCACTATACACAATGGCCTTCTGAATAGACTGAAGTCTTTTCAACAGTTTCCACGATAAATGGTCGTCTACTTTTTCAATTTCAGGATTATTTTCAACACTGATTAGGTATTTTCATGGTATTTAATTGTAAGTAGTCTGAGTGCAACTAAGTACCATGTGACTGCTCTTAAAATAGCAGCTGATGAAAGTCCTGTGGTTTGCATCAAAGTTGTTAAGGTCAACACTGTTGCATGTAGACTTGTTTCAAGTGTTTATTGGGTGATCTGTCAGTAAGTACTTAGTTGGAGAAAGGGACTTACAATTTGTGAGCCGCTATACAGGGTGTCTGTTTGCACGTTTGTTGAGTGTTTTTTGTCAGCTAAACTCCTTAAAAGGTGCTCGTAATAAGTGACACTTGGTTGGGTAACAAGAAGTAAGAAACGATGTTGATTCAAATGGTTTATGCTTGATTTTAAGTATATTTGACAGCTAAACACGAGACATCGAGAGGTCATGCTCAAGTGCTTGGTGCAGGGAGTAGCGAGTACTATGTTGATTATGATACACTGTGCGTATATTAATGATCTTAAAGAAGCGAATTGGGCAAAACGCAAGGTAGTAAGGGTATGAAGTTGAATGCTAAGGTAAGGTCTTAAATCAATAAAAACCGTTGTTGAGTATAATATTTTCCACTAACAGACATGTTTAAGTTCCAGTGACAAAACTAGAGACAGATAGGAGGGGAAACCACATGATGAACTCGCATGCGTCTAGGAGCTCACATGTCTTATTGCCTTGCATCGTCGACCCCCAAATCTCTGTTTCAGTACGTATTGTGTTTATCTATCGGTTTGCTGTAAAATCACATTCAGTTTGTCTTAGTTTCTGGGTCTTCGTCACTTCTCTTGTTCCATTCGATTTTTTTCCTGAATGTATTAAACTTTGTCTGGTGGTGGTCGACATAATAGGCTACCGAATTCTTGGCTGGTTGATTCGCAAGAGGAAAAAAGCATGGTTAATTAGTTGGTATGATCTTTTACTGTTGCTATCATGTTACTGGTTATGTGATTATTCAGCTTTTATACGAGTACTTTGCTGTTGTTAAGTTGCTATTTAATGAAAAAACTGGATAGATATTTCCTCATAGTTTGGTTTGAAAGTCATCCATCAATTAGGAGGAACAGCTCTTTTCCTTAACAATAACTAATTTTTTTCTTAACAACTTTGCGATTAAATGTGTCCTTTACAGCAGGTGCACATTTTTTTGAATATCTGTGTAGTTGTTTAGACATTAAAGGCGAAGAATGGATTTGTAAAATCTCAGCGAAAAAATTTGAAGTAAATTAATTTTTATAAAGACGTTCATAAGTAATATTCATATGTAAATAGTTGTTTTTAACTTGCACAACACTCTTCTTTTGACACATTGGTATCCAAAGACTAACGTTTTTATGCTGCCAATGTCTGACGGAATACTTGAAACATTTTAGTCCTAGAAGTAGTTAGTTGGTGTCGTCAATCGCAAATCAAAATTTGCACAGAGAGTTCTCTATTCTTATCAATGGCTGTGTTCAGTTCTATATTTTCAGTACGATATGGAATTCTTAGCACGAATATTCCGGCGGGTTTCTTTTAGAACCAAACAAAATCGACAACAAACATACTAATGTGATATGAGTTGATAAACATTTAGAATCAATTTAAAGTTTTTTACGAAAATGAGAATATGTACAACAACTTGTGAAAATGTTTTTAAGAATATATGATTCTAAATAACTGCGCTTGTATGACCGGTTCGTCACATAATGCATTTGTCATATTCGGCATTGTAGATCTTTTACATCCTTGTTTGTGTCAGTGGATTCCAATGTTTCGACGTTTCGTTCTACCTGAAGACATAAAGAAAAAGATGTAAATGAAGTTAATGATTAGTATCTGATAGCTTTTTACAAGAGTTTGCAAGATATAAGTGCCTGTTTATAATCATATTCATAATGACTTCAAAAAACTCACCCTACCGCCTACTTTCAGAACTCTCCACTATCCAGTAAAAACTTTTTCCAAAATCGCGGGAAATAATAACGATGTACAATGAGGAATGGTTGATAATATATAAGATTTTACAGATCGTAAAATTGAATGCTGTGCAATTCCATGTAGCTTATTTATGTGATAAATCAAACGGAACATTTTCTGCAATAAAGATAAAACGAAAGAAAACCAAGAGAGAGAAGAAAAACTTACACCGAGACCAGTAATCTTTAACTCTGTTTTACTACGAAATTTCCAATGGTACTGGTTTCCTGAAATTTCAGACAAGGTATTAAGTGCTGTTCACATCTCACGCTAAAATTAACAGTTTGGGATTTATAAGGACCTAGCTTAGGACCAACAACGATAAAAAACTGTTCAATGAGCGATAGGATTTCATCCAATCCAACAAGATTTAGGTAAGCAGAAATAGTTGCACATAAAATGATAATAATCAACATATTTAGTAATATTATTTTTCTTCAGATGACAGATCGTAAGAAACAAGGAAAGAAAAGATGAACGAACAGCCACTTCTGTCGAGTCTCATTGAGTCAGCAAAGATTTTGAATGCTTTCCTTTAAGCGCAGTATAATATCCACTTCCATTTAGTTAAAAACATTGTCAACTGGTAATCCAGATGTCGATATTAACTCTGGAAAACTAATGGTGGTTTTGAAAGATTTGAAGGATGAAGTATAGTCTAGAAATGCAAATTGAACACAGTTTATGCCCTTTTCCAAGCTGAACACTATATCGAGATACAGAACAATAGCAGGATCTAATGTAATTCCTTTGAATTGGTAAATTAACTGGATCTATGTGCTTTCTGAATGCAGACCAAAGTGGGAGTGGTGAAAGGTTTACCATTGTTTTGAGGAAAGTTTAAGTCAGAGAAAGGAAACTTTTTAAAGATTTTCTAATGTGGTTGCGAATTTTATTGGAAAGCACTGATGAAAATGTAAAACTGCTACTTAGTTGTAGAGGAAATATAATCTCTGTACCTAAAAGGCGGTTTATATGTGACGTTTCCTTATAAGTGACACTCATATTTATGTAGTATTTAGCTATGGATTTATAGTGCTGTGGTTAAAGGAGAAGCGAATTATCACTGCCCTCAAACGAATCTAAAGGACATAAACACTGACAAAACAGATTGAATGTGTTTAGAGTAATCTATATGGGAATGCTTGAGGTGTAAGTATATTCAGTCATAAAAATACATCAATCGGAATTTAAAAAACGACAACTAGACACTTACGGACTTTCTAACTATAAATTCTTACAGACGTTTTTTGGTGCCTAGGTATAAGAACTTACTAGATAGTCGAAAATTGTTTTCCGGGATGCCAATAAACATTGTACTTTTATTTATTTAGTTGAGCTGAAAAATAAGACCTAATATGTTTCAATATTTTTGTCACTAGAACAGAGCTTATGTTATAAACTACTGTTATTTGTGATAAAAGATGATTTTAAGAAGCGCAAATATTTCAAATATTAACATCAAGCTGCCATCGTATATTTCAGAGCCCATGACTACTAAAAAGTCATAACACATGACGCAGGCATAAATATTCAGTCCGTCTTTCTATCCTAGTATAAGGGATTCGGCTGCGAGTGTTCAGCAGGCCCAGTAACTCTTACTCAATTGACCTGTTCTCATGCATATGACACTTGCCTAGTATGACCCTGTCAGCAAATACCCTGAATGATGAAATATCCCGGTCTTCGGATTATTCTGTGTGAAGCTTGTAAGTTTTTTAATACCTGGCTTCAACAAATTATTGTGTAACTTGAAGGATACTCTTCAAGTTAAAAGAAGGTATGATTAAAGCTAGCACATTAAGGTCATGGAACAAATCATTTACTTTTGTAAAACAATGCGTCTGAATTGAGGTGTCATTAAAGCTTAGTAGTGGGTAAATTTTAAATGGTTTCTAAGAACGAAAGAACATGGAATTAGAAGATTTGTTGCAAGTCAAACAGTTGTTCTCAGTAGTCCTACTTACTGATGAATCCAGGATTTTTTTGAAAAATATGATAACTCTTTGTTCGATACATTGTGAGTTTTCCATAGGCTTTTAAATCTACAAGAGACTAGTGATTTTCAAGAGTTGAAAATTATTTCGATCAATGCAAGTTCTTTTATAGGAGAGTTGAATCCAAATATGCTAAGACCACGTAACACTATTTACTAAAACTCGAAAGAGAAAAATACGGGTTGTGACTATCAGCACTTTTCGTAAAATACTTAAGGCAGGCGACTTTAATCCAGATTTAAAAAACTTGGCTCTGTATTCATCAACATGTTTGGAGGTATTGTGATTTTATTGCAGCATCCAGTCAAACAACAAGTCACGGGAAAAATAAGCATCGAAAGTGGTTCTGAAGTACCTAGAGTTTTTGTTCATAGTAGCACCGTCAATACTGTTGTAATAATCTTTCAGTAATATTCACATTATCAGAGCAATATTAGGTTAGAATTAGTTGGCTAAGAACTTACTACATTCTGAAAATGTGTAAAGCACCCAAAACCGTTTGAAACAAGAGTATACTTGTTTATTGCTTCAAGTATATATTTATTATACCTTTCGTTTGCTTTTAGTGCAGTGTTACAACACCATAACCACCAATGATATTGTTTTGTTTGTATGTATCATTTGTTCGTGTTTCAGCTTCAAGCGGTCATTTGAGTCGTTATTAGCAGTGTGAATTGTTATGATTGGATTTGCTTCTTAAATATTCATTTTCCCATTCTAGAACAGTATGTCTCAGCTTGACAGCTGAAATTTGTAACAAGTAGTAGATTTATTAGGAAAAAATTTTTTATAGTTTCATGTTGACCAATGTAGTAAGTTAGTTGCTACTAACTTACACATACTAGTATGTGTATCATACGATTAAGAAATGCATTCTTATTATATCTGTGTTATACGCTGCATTTCTTTTCGAAAAGAGGGTGTATCAGGGCATCCACGGTCGTCAGGTCTATTGAAATCTGTGTCTACTATTCGTATGCCTATCTGCTTTTTCACCTGTCAGACATCTATAACATATTCAACATTTTCTTGCTTTTTTCCTTAAATTTTATATGCATAATCACTTCATATAGTCCTCATAGGTTATTTCGAGTTTACTATCTATTTTTTAATCAATTACTCAAGTGCTGTTTAGCGTTTTACTAGTTTGCTCTAATCTTATTTAATAAAACTGACAAGTTTCATGCCTATACCTTTTCTGGTGAAATAAAATCGCACGAAACGAACTACACACTGTGAGATTATAATCCGACTCTTTATGGAGGTGTTGATTGTCTTGAATTACCGTGTCTGTCCCCTTGAATATATCAGCACCTCAAATATGAGAGACTTTGGAAATGCTTGAAGATTGTGACATCTCATCGTGGGCTGATAATTTGGTCACCACTTTAGAATGTCGTACTGTAAACGCTAAAAATGGTCATCAACTTCATTCAGATTCCTGACAGGTAATAAAATACTTGGCTTTTGTTAGTTCAAGGTGCGTTTCAGAGGAAATTTTTTATTTATAACTTATCTATGGTAGATGGCATTTCATTTAACCTTCTCTCATAGTTTCTTTTTGATGTATATCATGAATGTAGCTTTTCTACACAATAATATCAGTTCTCTTTTCAGATATCACGTATAGGAAATACTGTTTATTGTGATATAGTGCAAGTTCGCTGATCAGCACTGTATTGTAGAAAATATGCTTTCGTAATTTTCCTCTTTAATGGTATAGTTTGAAGATCGTTTAAGATGTATCTTCCATAAAAATATCCGTATCGTATGTTATTGTAGGTTTTACATTTATGGTATTATTTTGGAACTTTAATACTTTCTAAACGGATATTAGTAATTATTGCGATTATTTTTACAATTTTACTAGGCATTTAGAGGATGCTTTATATAGCTATCGCTACTGCAATTGTCGTTATTGGATTCTGTATTTACAAACGTAAATCTAATAAAGTCACATTTCCTCTTGACTGCTTTTTAAATGAGCAGTCTGCAGTTATCGATTACGAAGTACGTTCACCTGATTTCCTTGGTGTTGTATGTTTATTTTTCAAGGATAACCTTATATTGTATAGTTTAGTCACTGACTAAATCATCGGTTATTGTCCTGTTTATAAATAAATATCATGAAACATGTTTTTATCGTTTAAGTTGGTGGTTTATGAAGATATTCATGATTTGAAAGTGGTTTTCTATCACCAGTCGGCTTCATCTGGGAAAATATATAGCTGTGAATCAGTGTAAAGCTGTTTCATCAATTCTCTGCATAAAGTAAGTCTTCCTAATTCCTGGTTTGAGGCCATAACCTGTGCATTCAACTACGTCTAAGTTGAGGGAGATTTTCATCATAAACATTTAATCATGTTCATTCTGATCTAATATTTTTTGAACTGCTATGTTTTTTACACCATGTTGAGTGCAAAACCTCAATTTTCGCACTTGAACATTTAAAGGAGTTTGAGGTGTTTATCATATTTTAAGATAAAAAATAACAGTTTCAGAGTTAATTGTCACGGAAGTTATCTGAAGTAATCTTTTAGGGAAATACTATGTCCCGGTTACTTGAGTGTAGTGTGACTGATCATAATTCATCCGTAAGAGTTGATGACTGACTTCTTGTTTTAAATAAAACTTTTATATAATGCTTATCATTATGTCAACCCTTTTAGGATGCTAGTATAAAAAGCATTTTTGAGAATGATTAAATCCGTGCAAATGTGTCTCGAAATTTTCCTAAACACGCTCATCTTATTAATGATTCCTCTTTTTACAAAATAGGGAAACACTCGCACATCCGTTACTTATACTACCATTCCAGAAGTATGTGCCAATTTGTCTACTGTTTGTGAAGTGTTTCTATCTGGGTTGAATTTTTCAAGTAAGTAATTCATTTTAGCCACTAGATCTTATGAGCACATTCTCGCTATAGATAAACAATCATATTCACAAATGATGTGTATTCTGGTTACTTATTTAGATATTTTGGCTAATTCATTAGTATATGGTTGTAGGTCTCCTCGAATCATGCCTTATATACGGTGAAATCGCTGGGTAAAATATCTTGAGTTTCGATGTTGGGTCTTATTCAATAAATGGTAAATCTATAGATGAAACTATGAACCTCCACTAACCTTTATGATTAGGATGTATATTACACAGCTCCATCCTCTTAGAGCTACGCATTACGTTAGTTATTTAAATTAATGTAGTGAAAGAAAGCTAGTCCGGATAAATAAGCTCACCAAATCACCCCATAAAATCAAACTGTTAACCCGAGCCATGTTCAAAGGTTTAGACTAAATTAATGGAACTTTCTTACTCTAGTGCATTTTGTTACGTATAAATTGTATTGTGCAAGCTTATAAACTGCATTTTAATAAAATAACGTCATTTTAAAGGATGTAATATTCCATCCTTTTAAATGAAGATTTTTCGACTACTGTCTATCTAGTATATTCAGACTTTTTTATGTTAGTTCATCTACCACCAGTTGCTTTGCTGTTATTTTTCTAAATGCACTTTCTTACCTTCATTCTCGTACGCTAGTTTTTTTAAATCGTTATTCTCGTCTTCTAAATATTAGGAAATTCAGCTTGTTTGGGTTGGCGCGAATACTGTGAGCAGGATTACAAATGGATTACATATAAACAAGTAAACTGAGTCACATTTTTTATTATCCTTAATCCTTATCGGCATAGCTTTTGTCGGCAGTATCGGTTTAATTTTATATCTTGTTGAAAACACACGGTAGCTTACACTTTCTCAGTCACTCACCCACTTTCGAGTGAAATATGCCACACATTAACCAGTGAACAAGTGTTAAAGACGAAGTAAGTATGAAGCACAGATCCTCATTACTTCAGGGTTATGTATGGTTGTTCCTGATTATTGAACCGAAAATTCTTAGTAGCATATTTATAAGACACAGATTCGCATAAAGCCAATGAGTAATCTAATTTATTAATGTGAAGGGCGACCCAAATATCTGTATCCATTGATGGCTATTCGGCTTCAGCAGTTGTTCACTTCGTCCCAGAGATCTACACAGCACTACGAAATTAGTGTCAAGCGCGTTACATTATATTATTAGCTGATTCCCATGCAAACGCCCACGTAGGTTTAGAGTAAGTCAAAATCAAGGAACTAAGGAGAACTATAATGCGAATACTGAGCTTAATTCGACAATGTTTAACTGAATTTTAGTTCACTGTTGAAATGGGAAAACGGTGGTAAGGTAACGTACTTAGGGTTGAACTGAATGAATCTACAATTGCTATCAGTGCACATACCTAGCATTATCAGTCAGTCAGTCAATAATAACGTAGAACTTCGCACGTACGTACGTACGTACATTAGTTCGAGTACCTACCGTTATATGTAAACTTTTATGAAATAGGAATCGTGGATATGAAGTTTGAAAGTGATTCGAACACGCGGCCATCAGCCCGTTCCATCTTAGTAGGAAAAATGATAATATCTAGAGGTATTTTTTTTCTTACAGCAAATTTCTAGTGCATAAGAATTCATAACAAAAACACGTAATTTTCCGTTATCACCCTTTCGATTTTTTAAGTAATAACTATGACTGTCAGCTGAAAACCTAAATTATACTTTTCTCAATCACTTTCATATACTTGTACCAGTTTTACTTAAACAGTAAATGCCAACCCAGTAATAATATCAGGTCATTTTCTTCTTCAAAATATTGTTATCCCGTATTATGCATCTATGTCGTTACTGTTACCATTAGAATATATTAGTGTTTATCAATAAGCAGTATAGATTTTTGTTGATATGAGACTTTCTTTTTATTCTTCAGATGTACTTTAATGAGGCTTTATCTTTGCCATAATTTCTATTTCTTATATAGGTGAATGATAAAATCGGTGTTATACGATCCGCTCTACATGCTTTAAAAACCCGAGGTTCGTATGAAAACCTCTTTGTTGGTATTTCATCAAAAAATTCACCACAGGTAAGTCACTTTAATGTCTACTTCTCATATCGTGGAATAACAACTGAATGTTTGTCTACTCAGAGTTTATTCACTGAGTAACACATTTCTTTCTTAGAATGGCAGGTCTGTGGATTTACTCAGTTTTAAAGATAGTTCACAACGCGGTTCGAAATAAGCTGAGACAATGATTGGAAACCAGGGAGCATTATTTAGACGTCTCGTTTTATTATGAGGTCTTTTACTAATGCATACTCACGACCTCTCCAGATGTCAAACGTAGACCAGTTATCACAGAAAAATACTGAGTGTTAATCAAGGTTGTAAACATAGACCATTGGATGCCAATTTACTGGTTCAATAGTAACAAGGCCTGAAGATTCTCGATTCGTTTCTTTTCGAAGTTGCAGCTGTACATTTCCAATGTGTTTTGTGCAAAGACAAAACACCTCTCTAGCGCCTACTGATTTTCAATAGTTGTTTGGCTAAGGTAAATTTACAATGAAAACTTACGTTCTCCTATAAGATAGGTTTTCTATAGGTTGCTACATATGTAAAGACTGTCTCACTACTTATGTGAAAATACTAAATAAAATTTTATGTCTTTTGAAACCTAGATATCTGTTGAACTGAATTTTGCTAGTTTTAGAGGGTTATATCAATTTGTGTAAATGATAAAATCCCAAAGAAGTTAAAAAAAACTACATCTATGCTAAACAAAAGTTAGCTTAGGTTTTTAGTTATCACAACCATGGTCTAATGATGAATTGGAAATATTACACCAATCAGGCAGATAATTTCATAACTTTTCATTTAACGATAGTATCACATCCAATTGCCTTGGTTTACCAATGACATAATTCATTAACGCGACGGAAAAACTAGTGGATCTTCTGAAAACAAAATGTCTTTGAACAACACATTAAGAATGTTGGTACCGTCTCCTTTGGAATATTTAAGTCCCCAGATAAATTTTTTCTTTGTGTCCACTGACATCCCACAATTTAAATATATTTGGTTAGATATTTCTCAAACGTGAATAGTGTCATGTTACTTCTCTTACTTTTGGCAAACAAAACCCCGATTTCAGGTACCAGGTTTACCGCTGCATTATGACCACCTAATGTGGTAACTCGTTACGTATTAGTCAAGCTTCATCTGCAACCATAATTAAAAAATCATATCATGATTTTTATGCTGGTCTGGGTTGTACTGAATACCGTAACGGGGTCGAGTAGTTGCTGAGTACTGCTGTAATGGTGGGCTCTTTGAACTAGATAAATACCATTACAAAGTGACAAATACCAAATACAGTTGTTCATTTAATTACCCGAACTTAAAGTTTAGTGTGTTATCGTTGAGCATTCTAATCCACTCATCATTTCATTTTTACATATTAGTCACCTTTTTTTATTGTGAAGAACATAAAGATATCAAATGTATTTACTTAGAATATCTCAATATGAATTAAAGTTTTTACACAATAATTTACTCCATGTACTTACTATTCTTTTTTATTATTTATGCGTTTCATTATTTGAATTTTTGTGCTGCTTATTAATGTGACATTTTGAAACACTAAACATTCTTATGCAAGCCAACTGATCTTAGTAATTGTGGCAAATTTTGATCATGAATGTGAATCTATGTTCAAATATTATTTTTAGGGGATTCACGTGTTTTATTTTTCAAATGCAACTAATTTTAATTTTACAATACCGCATGTAGAATTAACATTTGGAAAGGTATAGAAAGTGACTGGTTTTCTCATATTCTCAGTCAAAGTATGCTTTTGTTTTCTAACAGATTAACTATTTTCTTCCAGGCAAATTAATCATAATTTGATAAAAACATTATTCTATTGTTGATAAGTCGTTTAAAGTGGCGTAATTAACTAATAAAAGTGAGGCGCAACTGATTTACTTTACAATCAATATAACTCTGCTTTTTTATTAATTGACAGTGGCGACAGTTTGAAAGAAGCATGTGACTAATTCGCATAATGTTCTTTAAATGGATACTTCACTGCATTTATTTCCAGTTGACAGCTTAAACACTTGATTATTCAATTACTTAACTAATCTGGTATGCATCTCCTATTATAATATGAATGTGATACTGTAGACGTAAATTCGTGTTTAGACGTTATGATTAGACTGTACGGGTTTTTGTTACTTTATCGCAACGAAAGCTAATATTATGTGCTAATTTACTCAGCTGCTTTAAATGTCAGCATGTTAGGTAGGCAAGTGTTGGGAATGAGATGGACAAAGACTTAAATCTAAGTTTTAAACCTCTTTGATCTCGTTTTCAGGATATGTCTTTAAATCTGATTCCACATTCTTGCGCCTCAGTTAAGTCCTAAAATAACCTTCGTTATTTTGAATTACCCCCACTGAGACTAGGCTATAACTTATCATTCGGTTGCCCCCAAAAGGTAGAACGAGCCTGCTCTCCCTCTCGAAATGCTCACGCATGGTCTCGCATATACAGCCACTGCCAGGAAAGTCTTAATCATTGCCTTCTCACGGTGGGGGTATTGTTTACGAAATTGAGAGGACGAAAAGCGATTTTCCAGCTTTTTAACCGGGTTGGTGGTCACGGAGAGTCCACCTAGGGGAGTTGGAAAACCCTGATTCCGAGCCAATGGTGCACATGGACTCTAGGATCCTGAGAGAACAAATGATGTATGAACCTATTGTTGGTGACCGGTACCATTGGACTGCATGTCCTATCGTTGCTCCACTGCCTTGAGGATTAGACCTTTAGGTCAAAGGCTCGGAGTGTGACTCTAAGAAAACTATTTACTTTAGTTTGGGCACCCGAGCAGTATCCCAGCCCATACACAAAGCAATGATAACTACGTCTGGAAAATTTTCTATTGCTTCAACGCTTATCCAGACAAATCCTATTCTCAATCATCTGATAACACTCATTTTTATTTCTTTTATACTACGTCACTTATATACTGCCCTTTATTCTCATTTTTATTTTTTTACTTTTAAACTTATACAGCAGCTTGCCTATGATGGAAACCCCGTCCTGTATAAACGGTCTCAAGTCGCTGATACGTTGAAATTTGAATGCTGCCGCTGACTATGAATACTGACCCAGTCTTTCTGAAACCACGTATACCATTTAAACTGGCCTCCTTCAACGTTCGCACACTAATGCAGATCGGATGACCGATAGGGTTGGCTATGTCTTTAGAAAGTTTCAACATCGATATGTGTTGTCTATCTGAGACTCGTATTCAAGACTAGTGAAATACTACAAATTCGCTCTCCATCTGTCACTTCGAGAAGCTTGTTTCATGTGCGTTTTTCCGCGGACACTGGCTTCTTCGTGTGGTTTCGCTGGCGTTGGTGTCGCACTAAGCGCTAGGGCTGAAGCAACACTGATCTATTAGATCCCCATAAACAGTTGTTTATGTGCTGTTAGATTTGAAAGCTCCATCAAAATGCGAAGAAATCGATGTGATAAACAATGTCTTTTCAACATCACCTATGCAGTCCGTATGCGATCAAGGATAAGTTCTATCGCCAGTTAATTGTTCTTCTACAGAAAGTGCTTTCGACAGATATCATAGCTCTAACCGAAGACTTAAATACTCAGGTCAGGCATCTAGGTACAGAAGAGAGTCGTTTAGGTAACTAATGAGGACTTGTTGGTCGCAGGTCAGATAACGGTGATCGTCTACTACAACCTGTTACTGGCTTAAACTAACCACCGGTACAGCCATCGCCGATGTGCTACCTGATTGAGTTGTTTACGAAGGTCTTTGTCACAACTAAATATCAAATCGAGCTAGGTTCAAGGCTAGTTACCAGCCCACCGAAAAGTAAAGATGAGCTTTGATTTCAATTGCATGACGCTAGTAAAATGGTGAGTAAAGTCTCTCGCAACTTCGCGAAATGTCCCGCTTATAAGCACCGGGTTTCTTCTGGTTCCTTACAACTCATTGAAGCCCGTCGGTCTACTCCGGGTGACCGTGAGTTTGACCACAAACGAAGGATGTTACGTCATGAAATTGGGCAAACCTTGAATAAGGACCGAGAAGCCTGGTGGTCGTAGCGTGCTAATGAGCTGGAAGCAGCAGCTACATCTGGTAACTACCGGAAGCTCTTCCAACTCATCCGAGCCACTGGCAGCAAGAAGTCTGGTGTGAGTGAAACAATCTGTGAGGATGACGGGATGCCAGTCACTAACATCCATCGACGTCTTGGATGATGGACAGGGTTTTTCAAGGATTAGTTCAGCTAGTCTACCACCCCAGCAACATCGATCAGACTGTCCTGCCCTCCATGATTGATGATGACTGACCCACCTAACGAGGAGGAATTCCGCAATGAACTCCAAATCTTGGAGTGCCACAAGTTGCCAGGCCTATATTACTTACCTCTAGCCCTTTTCAAAAATAATGACCTTCTGAGTTGTTTACGAAGGTCTTGAAATTGGAGAGTGTCCCAACATCGTGGGATAAGTCAATAGTTGTCTATATTTTTCAAAGAAGGATCACTCCGTTTCTTCAGTAACTATCGGGGAATAAATCTACTTCCGATTGCGTACAAACTATTGGCCTCCGTCGTACTTCGTAGATTGTTGAAAACCCGAGAAAGATTGTCTTGCGAGGACCAGGCTGGTTTACGTTCTGGTCGAGGATGCATTGATCACATCTTCACTCTGTCCCAAAGTTTAGAACACCGTCATAATTATTACAGGTCAACTATCGTAGTGTTTCTTGACATTAGGGCCTCCTTCACTTCGTTGGACGGGACCATTCTCTGGGATTGTCTATTGAAGAAGTATTTGTTTAAGAAGTTTATTCACACCTTAAGAGCCCTATATACAAGCACTTCAGGTAGATTGACGGCATACAACCACCTTTCTCCATTGTTCTATTCAAGCAGTGGGGTTAGAGTGGTTCAAACAATTTCACCATTCTTCTTCAACTTTGCCATCGATGGGGTTCTGGGAACAGTTCTCATGGATGTAGGTAATGGTAGTGTAGATCTGTCACCTGGAAAACGACTCTTTGACCTTGAGTGTGTGGATGATATTGTCTTACTGTGTGATGGTATCCATGCTATGCGGTCCGCACTTAATCAGTCGGGAGTTAGTGTCCGTACGTACGGCATGTGGTTTACACCTTTTAAGTGCAAAATACTTTTACAAGACTGGCATCACCCTCTTTGTTTGATCATCGTTTTCTCCTATGGATTTCCGACATTCAAGGGCAACACCATGTTAGTAATACGGAAGCTCGGCATCGTGTGTTCGGGCACAGCGAGGATAACTCAATTAGTGTCACTATCTTGAAACATTGAGTTCGGTGGCCTGGACATGTTCTACGAATGTTGTCCCGTAGAATCCCTCGTCGTGCATTATTTGCCGACGCTGGGACTGGTCAGAAAATGCGGAGAGGTGGTCAGTGTTATGACGTGGTGTCGTGGTACGAACGAACGCTGTACGGGACTGGCTCCTATTTGTCCTTCATGAATCTGTGGTTGGTATCCTAGAGATGGTGCAACACAGTGGCTAGAGACGTTATCAGATATGACTCAGAATAAAAGCCAGTGGTGACTCTGCTGTAACTTTCTTTATAAAAGTGAACGTAACTTTAAGGGAAAGAATTCTTTTTGGTTGTATTTTTGTTGACTGAACTGTTTCTCACATTATTATTATTATTACTACCACTCTTATTAATTATTATTGTCATCATTACTATTATTATTATTATTACCACTTTTACTTTTGTTACTATTATGTTTATTATTATTATTAGTTCTAACAAATAAGAAGAAGCTACATCAAAAATAAAATCATGGTCACCAGTTCGCTGGCTGCATATATATATATATATATATATATATATATATATATATATATATATATATATATATATATATATATATATATATGAGATGGGACAGTTCATAAACCGGTTACGTATAAAGTCATATAGAGTGAATTTTTACGAACAAGAACGAAATTAAGAAGTTAGGAGGAACATTTTGGTAAATCACAGTAGCGTGGAATAAAGATTTCCTAAGTGAATCTAACTGGATTCTGCTATTCCGACTATGGATAGTTTGTAGCATCAATTACAGTTATCAATCATAAACTTTGTATGTTCGGTTAGCTACCATTCAAAATAATATAAACTCTCAGTTCTAAAACTCGGCTTTTTATTGTGTGTCTACTATGGAGCTCGTATTATGGTTCATCCACTCTAGTAGCTAGATTAGGTCCTATCTATTATTTTCGTAAGCACTCAGCTGGTATTATCTTCATCGCAAAATGTAGCTGAAAATCTCGTTAATCTGAACGTCACGTTCTTAAATTTATATTGTTCCTTGAAGTAGATGTAGACCGAGGGAGCTCACTGGTGGTCATGCCAAAAATGGCACTAATGTATAATGTAACTAACCGTTCACATAAGTTTGCTATGGATATATAATATTTCATGAAACAGACTAATTCGTTTCCAAAACTTTTATTGATGAGGCTTTTATTCAACTAACACGGGAAAGATCTATTCATTTTTTTTGTACCTGTCAAAGAATAGCGATTGAGGTATTTTGATCGTACCATTTTAATTATGCTGTCTACAATTTTTATGATTCCATTACTGAGGTCACCTTCACTGTGCTTTGAAATATCAAGACATAGATTGGTCCATTCACATCACCAACTGTTTCATCATTTTTTCAATGTTCATTGCTGAACACTAATCGTCTTTGTATGATTATGCAAGATGTAAACTTTTTAAAAGATATCTTCAATGTACTAACACTGGATACAAATTTTATTGTCTTCTGTCTGTTCGTTAGTGGATAATGGTCGAATTGGCTTGTACATTCTCTGGTTATACTATTGTGCCATTGTATGATACTTTAGGCGAGGAAGCTATTTTAACTATACTTAAACAAAGTAAGAATGAAGGTTTTTTATCAATTTATTTTTTTCCAATGGAGTTCAGTCATTTTTCAGTACAGTAACTCACCTTAACACTTGGTTTTAGGGTTCGTTTCAGTCATTAATTTAGATAATTGTATCTATGACTAAGGAATACTACATGACATAAATTGAAGTCTTTTTAAACGTGGTTGAATAATTAACAGTAATATCATTTAAGATATAGATACAAGTGTCCAGCACTCTTATAATGTTTGTTCTTTGAATTATTTGATTTAGGCTGAACTATATTTATTAATGTCCAGTTTGATGAGTACCATTCAAACGAAGAACAATGAAAGGTTGAATTGGATTCAGACGCCGCACAATGGTAGTATTTCTCGTCCTTAAGGCGGCATTCGACTCTGTTGATTGTGAGGTTCTATGGCAGTGTTTGTCACTGAAAGGAGTACCAAAGAAGTAAATTAACCTTGTAAAGGCTCTCTACTCGAACGCAACTGGTAGAGTGAGAGCTTATGGCGAACTGTCATCAGAATTGATTACCTCAAGTGGTGTTCGTCAGGGCTGTCCACTCTCTCCATTCTTGTTCAACTTTGTCATTGACGTGCTTCTAGAGATAACACTTGCCTCGTCTAAATTTCCATTGGTTGAACTTCTACCGGCCCCCGAATTCCCTGGTACGGCCGAGAGTGGGGTGAAACCACTCTCCCTCTCGAAATACTCTCACACGGCCGCGCGTATACAGCCTCTGCCAGGGAAGTCCTACTCATTGCCTTCTCGTGGCGGGGGTGTTGTTTACGAAAATGAGAGGACGAAAAGCGAATGTCCGGCGCTTTAACCGGATCACAAACCAATGGTGCACATGGGCTCCAGTATCCTGCGGGAACAAATGGCGTATGAACCAATCTTTGGTCACCGGCTACCATGGGATTGCATCTCCTTACGATGCTCCACTGCCTTGTGGGTTAGACCTTTAGGTCAAAGGCTCGGGGAGTGGCCCCCTAAGATAACCACCTGCTTCGGTTTGGTCACCCGGGCAGTATCACAGCCCACACACAAACGATGAACTCTATGCCTATGGCAACCACTTTTCTCGCTCCGAAAAACAATCAGTCGATTCAAATAATTATCATCACTATTATTGTCATTATTAATACTATTATTGTCATTATTATTATTATTTTCCACATTATTCACCCTCTTTTATACTTATACAGTGGCTCGTCTTTGGTGGAAATCCGACTGTATCTAAACGTTCTTGAGTCATTGTCCGGTTGAAAATTGTATTTTACCATCGAATATGAGTACTGAAGCAGTTTTTCTGAAACCACGTGCGCCATTCAAGCTGGCTGCCTTCAACGTTCGCACACTTATGCAGGTTGGTCAACAGATAGGGCTGGCTATGTCTTTGGAAAGTCTTAATATCGACGTTTGCTGTCTATCCGAGACCCGTATTCAAGACTCTGGTGAAGTACCACAAATTCGCTCTACATCTGTCGCTTCAAAAAGCTTGTTTTACGTGCGCTTATCCGGGGACCCTGTGGCATCTTCGTCTGGTCTTGTAGGCGTTGGTATCGCACTAAGCGCTAGAGCTGAGGCAGCACTAGTCGATTGGATCCCCATTAACAGTCGGTTATGTGCTGTTAGATTAGAAAGTTCCATCAAAGTGAGAAGAAATCGGCGTGAGAAACGATGTCCTTTCGTCATCTCCGCCTATGCCCCGACAGATTGCAGCCCGGATGCAATCAAGGATGAGTTTTACGATCAGTTATCTGTTCTTCTCCAGAAAGTGCGTTCGACAGATATTGTAGTACTAGCCGGAGACTTGAATGCTCAGGTCGGGCGTCTAGGCACAGAAGACAGTCGTTTAGGTGGCCGATGGGGACTCGTTGGTCGCAGGTCAGATAATGGGGACCGTCTACTGCAACTGTGCGCAGACCACAACCTGTTTCTGGCTAGCACTAACTTTCGGCACAGTCATCGCCGATGTGCCACCTGGCGTCCTCCCTCTGCATCCCAAGGCTGAACTCAGATTGATCACATTGCGATCAGCTACCGCTGGCGTGGTTGTGTACAAGACTGCCGCTCCTTTTGGAGTACCTATCTGGACTCTGATCATGTCCTGGTCTGCGCCAATCTTACCTTACTTTTCAGTGGACAACGAAGTGACCGCCATCAAAAGATTGATATTATCAAGCTGGTTGCAACTTCTGTTGCAAATAAGTATCGAACCGAGCTAGCCTCTAGGCTAGCTACCACTCCACCGAAAAGTATAGATGAGCATTGGTTGCAATTGCATGACGCCATGAAAATGGCGGGAACAGTCAGTTGTGGGTTTGCGAAACGTCCCGCTTTTAAGCACTGGGTTTCTTCTGGTTCCTTACAACTCATTGAAGCCCGTCGGTCTACTCCGGATGACCGTGAGTTTGACCACAAACGAAGGATGTTACGTCATGAAATTGGGCAAACCCTGAGTAAGGACCGAGAAGCCTGGTGGTCGTAGCGTGCTAATGAGCTGGAAGCAGCAGCTACATCTGGTAACTACCGGAAGCTCTTCCAACTCATCCGAGCCACTGGCAGCAAGAAGTCTGGTGTGAGTGAAACAATCTGCGAGGATGATGGGATGCCAATCACTAACATCCATCGACGTCTTGGACGATGGGCAGAATTTTTCGAAAGGCAGTTCAACTGGCCTGCTGCTCCGGCAACATCGGTCAGACTGTCCTGCTCTCCGTGGCCGGTGACGACTGATCCACCAAACGAGCAGGAAGTCCGCAAGGAACTCCAACTCTTGAAGCATTACAAATCACCTGGCGTAGATGACTTACCTTCGGCTCTTTTTAAAGATGGTGGTGACTTTTTGACTGAGGAATTGACGACGTTGTTTACAAAGGTTTGGGAACTTGAGAGTGTACCAACGTCATGGAATGAGTCGATAGTTCTCCCTATCTTTAAAAAGGGTTCACGTCGTTCCTGCAACAACTATCGGGGGATAAGTCTACTTCCGATTGCGTCCAAGCTATTGGCTTCCGTCATACTTTGTAGGTTGTTCAAAACCCGAGAAAGATTGACTCGCGAGGAGCAGGCTGGGTTTCGTTCTGGTCGAGGATGTATTGATCATATCTTCACCCTCCGTCAAATGTTAGAACATCGCCATACTTATCAAAGGCCAACAATCGTAGTGTTTCTTGACATCAGGGCTGCCTTCGATTCGTTGGACAGGACTGTTTTCTGGGATTGTCTATTGAAGAAGGGTGTGCCTGAGAAGTTTATTAACATCCTAAAAGCCCTATATACAAACACCTCAGGCAGAGTGAGGGCATACAACCACCTTTCTCCATTGTTCCATTCAAGCAGTGGGGTTAGACAGGGTTGTTCATTCCCACCATCCCTCTTCAACTTTGCCATCGATGACATTCTGGAAACAGCTCTGATGAATGTAAGTAATGGTGGTGTGGATCTGTTGCCTGGAGAAAGACTTCTAGACCTTGAGTATGCGGACAATATTGTCTTACTGTGCGATAATGCCCAAGGCATGCAACCCTCACTTAATCAGTTGGCAATCAGTGTCCGTAGGTATGGTATGTGCTTTGCACCTTCCAAGTGCAAAGTACTTCTACAAGACTGGCAGGATTCCAATCCTGTACTCACCCTGGATGGTGAGCAGATGGACGTAGTCGAGAAGTTCGTGTATCTGGGTAGCTGCATAAGTGCTGGTGGGGGTGTGAGTGATGAGATCAATGCACGTATAGTAAAAGCCAGAGCGGTTTATGCCAATCTGGTCCATCTTTGGCGCCTTCGTGATGTTAGTCTGGCTGTAAAAGGTCGGATCTACAACGCGTCGGTGAGAGCAGTTTTGCTCTATACTTGTGAAACCTGGCCTCCTCGAGTTGAGGATGTTAGACGACTCTCTGTGTTCGATCATCGCTGTCTCCGAAGGATTGCTGACATTCAGTGGCAACACCATGTCAGTAATACAGAGGCTCGGCATCGTGTGTTCGGGCACAGAGATGATAATTCAATTGGTGTTACCATCATGAAACACCGACTTCGGTGGCTTGGACATGTTCTCCGAATGTCGTCCCTGAGAATTCCACGTCGTGCATTATTTTCCGACTCTGGGACTGGTTGGAAGAAGCGGAGAGGTTGTCAGTGCATGACATGGTGTCGTGGTATGAAAGAAAGCTGCAAAGGGCTGGCTTCTGTTGGTCCTTCACGACTCCCTGGTTGGGGTCTGAGAGATGGTGCTACACAGTGGCTAGAGACGTTATCAGGTATGGCTCAGAATAGAAGCCAGTGGCGATCCTGCTGTAACCTTCTTTTACTTTCTTCATAAAAAGTGGTTCTGTCTCCCTTACCTGAAAGATTTCTTCCGATTGTACCTTTGGGTTCCCTGATTACTAGCACATAACCTTACACCAATCTCTTCGTTATTGTTCTCTCTTTTTTTGTTGCGCTCCTTAGCTTTTTTTTTTCTTTCTTTGTATTCCTCTTGAATTTACATTGTTTTGTGTGGCGCATATATATTGGCGCTCTCTTGTACCAATATTCATGTGTCCAAATAATAATAATAATTTGGTAAAAACGCTGACAAAATGCCGAGTCTTCTGACCACTCTAAGCAACAATGCAAGCATGTTCGGCATATGGTTCTCCCCCTCGAAATGTAAAATGTTGCTTCAGGATTGGGTTGCATTGACACCCGAACTAATGACAAGGAGTGAAGTAGTTGAGCATGTCGACTGGTTCACTTATCTTGAAAGTCTCATCAGCCCTTGTAGTCTGGTGTGTGACGAAATCTCAGCACGGATACAGAAGGTTCAACTAGCTACTGCCAACTTGCTTCATTTAAGGAGTAGGCAAGATATCCGTCTATCAACCAAAGGACGTGTTTACTGCGCAGCAGTTCGTTCCATCCTACTTTATGGCAGTGAAACATGGCCGGTAAGAGTAGAGGATATTCGTAGGTTACTAGTATTTGATCATAGGTATCTTCGAAACATTGCTCGTATATCATAGGACCATCGAGTAAGTAACGCAGTTGTAAGGAAACGGGTACTAGGTAAGGATGGCAAATCGATTGATGAAGTGGTGAAACTTCATCAGTTAAAACGGCTGGGACACGTGTTACGTATGCCCGACGACCGACTGCCTCGACGTGCGATATTCAGTGGTATAGGAGTAGGTTGGAAGAAAGCTAGGGGCGGCCAAACCAAAACATGGCACAAGTCCATGAAGTCACTGACAAGTGGACTGAGTCATGTTGGTAGGTGTAGACTACCTGGTTGGGGACCGCGAGATGACAGCAACCGATGGTTAGAGACCCTGAATGACATGGCTCAAAATCGTTTGCAATGGTGCAGGTGCATACACTCTTTGTGTTCTCCCAAATTTTGAACTGATTCCTCCTTGTCTCTTTTTTTCTCTTCCCAAATTTATTTCACTGTATTATACTCTTTAAATAACATCTCCAAACCCTAATCTTCCTGATTACTGCTTATACTCTTATTACCTCTACCACTACGGGATTTGAATCGACAAGTGCATCTCTCTGCTAAGGTGACGTGGCAACTCGAACTGATGTACGTACTTACGAAGTTCTACGTTGTTACTGACTGAGTGAGTAGGAACGTGGTATTTTTGGCCAAGTTGCTTATTTGTCTTATACTTTTAAAATGATATGCCATTTGTTTTCGAAGTTTTCATTGTTGTTATGATCAATTAACCAAGAAGCAGTTCAGTTAAATTCTTATGATAACTCAGCTGACTGATACATAGCTTTAGTATTTTTAAACTGTACTATTATTAAGTTTGCTCTTAGTCCTTAATAGCTGTATAAATAAGAGAAGTCTGGTAATCTTAATAACAGTGAAATCATTGTGTGTATGAAACTTTTTTTCCTTCACACAGATGCCGTTTTCCCCCAACTTCACTGAATTCGCCGAATCTTGATTCCCTATGCGTACGTACGAAGTTCTACGTTGTTACTGACTGACTGAAATAACATCTCCAAACACTAATTTTCCTGATTACTGCTTATACTCTTATTACCTCTACCACTACGAGATTTGAATCGACAAATGCATCTCTGTGCTAATGTGGTATAGCAACTCGAACTGATGTACGTACGTACGAAGTTCTACGTTGTTACTGACTGACTGATTGGATTATATTTTTCTTCCTTATAAATGAAAGTCTGAATAGTGGGTTCCATCTCCAGAACAAATAAATAGTTCTTGGTGTCGTCACTACCGCGCAAAAAATTGTCAAAGAAGACAGCAGTTATTTTTCTTTCAGTTTCTCAAATCCAATACAGAGTTAGTGTTGACAAACACTCCATTATGTGATGTATTCAAACCTCTGGATTGCGAGATTAAAATAGGTCTCAAATTCTCGAATTAATAGCTTATTTTAACTTGGTTAGGTGGTATATCGATGGTGTACTAATTGTGAACGAATTGTAAACATAGCGATGACTAAATAACTAATCAAACATGTGAGGAATTGACCGCATTAGAAATAAACATTTTAGGACGTTCACCAATGCAGCTTTAATTAACTCAGCTACGTTGTTATATTAGTGTTTTTGAACAACTTATGCTAACATAGGACCAATCAAAACATGTTATCTAATAGTTTTTCTGTTGTCTTTTGAAGTAGTTAACAATGAATATGTTTTGATTCTTCAGTAATAGTCTAAACGTTATCTTCCCATGTTCCTCCTGATCAATGTATATATATGTGATACTGCAGAGTCGCGACCGTGTTTGTTGTTGGTTTGTGTCCAGTCATTGTAAATTGATTTTTATTTCCGGATTATTCTTCACTGTCATATTAGCACGTTTTAGTGAAATGGGTCGGAGGTTTAAGTTCTTTTGGGCATTACCAGTAAATATTTAATTAGCTAGGATGCTTCAAAAATTATGTTTCGTCCTTTTGTTCATGGGGATTGGCGATTACATTATCTGTGTTTGCCACATGATAGTCTGTTCATTTTGTCCAAATAGTCTCTAAGTATGAAAATTGTCGTAATGTTTTTCTTCTTATTTCTAAAAGGTGCTTTAAAATTCATGATATAAAAATACCGAAACAGTTTTATAAAGTTGTGCGCTATTACCATCCAATCTACTGTTTAGATAATGAATGCACATACCAATTTGCACACGTTTGGTTCATAAACATTAAACTAGTAACTAAAATCTAAAAGAATAGACTATTTGTCCCGGCTTCCACTCTGTGTAAATAGACATTAACGTTTATGCATTTAATATTTCTATTGAACTAGTCCGCTAAGCTATGTTATATTAATTTAGAATTGCTTTCATATTCATAGTACAAAAGATTATATTTTTCCGATGAGTGGAGGTAAAATAGTTTTATTTACATTTATCAGAGTTCGTTGTTTCATATAATATTTACGGCCACTAATGATAGAAGAGATTGAGCTCCTAGTGTTATATTAAAATAACCACTACGTAAAAAAGAAAACAAATAAAACGCCATTTGAAAAATCTTTATGTAAGTTTTTTTCTGTTGTATCGAAAAAATATTTCAAGCTGCTTCACTGATGACAACATTGAAGGAGGTTTTTCTATTGGTCAACAACAAAAGCTACCCATCTAAAATTATATTATTATAAGCATTAATTTTTAACTATGATTCTTTTGTAAAGTTTATGAACGACAGTAGAAACGTCCATTTTATTTAATCTCTGTAAAAATCTACATAGCTGAAAATTTATCAGATGACAGCAATATATTTCATTTAGATTACAAACACCTCTGGTAGAGTTATACATAAGAGTATATCGATAACACTAAATAAGCTCAGTGTTTATCAAGACCTATAATTAAAAGGGTTTTCCCGTAAAAATCAATGCGTCTATAGAAGCCACGAATACTGTAGTTAAGAGAAGTTAAATGAAAAGATAGTCTTCTCGAGAACAAACTATAATACTTTTTTAGGGTACTGAAATATTTTCGAACATTAAACTAATGCTCATTCATACCATTTAAATTAAAATCGAGATACATACTATTATCACTCTGTAATGACTCGTACGATTCAATAAATACGTTAGAAGTTTTCCCTTTTTTATTTCATTTAAACCATTCTGATCAGAAGTAAGGTAATTCTTTCTTTCATTCCATATTATAAAGTCATTAGACGTTTTAAAATATCCACTTAATGATAGACATATATCGCTTTATTGTCAGAATGAGGGTTAGTGTAGATTGTAGTAATTTTAATAGTTGAATTCATGAGTCATTCTAAGCTAGACCACCGCTAGACGACCGTCCAGCGCTTGCAGGTTTTGAATGGTGGTCTAGCTTAGATCGACTCATGAATTCAACTATATATCGCTCTTTCATTTTTTAACCTTCAATCAACATCGTTATGATACATGTGGAGAAAACCAATGAATTAAAGATACAGTTTTCTTCCAGAAATGAATGAACAAACTATTCACTTGAATCGTGTTTCAGCGATTATGAATTTTAATATGGTAATATGCTAACTCATTACTCTCACTCTATTCGTTCTAATCTTCATTTCCTATCTAGCTGAGCTCCCAATAATGTTTTGTGACTCAGTTGAAGTAGCACAACGTATTTCTACATTCGCACCTGACACTTTACAACACATTATCTTATTTCCTAACTCGTCTACTGATGCTAAGTCTGCTTCTGTTTCATCAGTTAACAGTTTGGTAAAAATTTACGACTATGAAGAATTCCTAGTGAGTTTCATTTTCATATACATTTTAAACATGTTAGTAACATTTGTTAATTCGACCCGGTTGTTAAAAGACAGAATGAAACTAATCCTTCAGTGAACTGTACATTGTTAGTATTAATAATGTCGGGTTGCTTTTTTCATGTTCCGAGTTTTTTCTTATACTCACGACCAGTTTTTTATCCTTATCTGTATATCATTTTTGATGTATTTTAGCTTTAAGCAGTAAACGTACGAATGTTAACCAGGGATGGACAGCCTTTTTAAAAATTGCTTATCCGAGTTTAAATATGAAAATTCTGGTACTTAATATAAACTTAGTTCTTCTGTTCATCAATCTGATCAGATGTGTTTTACTGTTAATTCGTAAATGAACTGTTATGACAATGAATTTATCACCAGAATTGCCCTGAAACCTAGTTGCTCATATTCAAATATTTGCTAAATACTTCAAAATAACAGAAAACCATGTTTTTTCGACTTAATTAACTGAGTATCAAACAAATCGTGGCTTACTAGTAAAGTAGCTGATATTTCCATGTATTGATTGAAGTTTGATGTTCAGGCTCGTATCAATAGGCTGTCTTGCAATTAGGTTTCAAAACTTTAGAGCTCATATCAACAAGTTGTATCTGGAGGCTTGAGTAAATTGATTCTCACTACTAAATATTTATACTGATATTTGACTGAAATTTAAGAAACACTAGTATCAAATTCTAACTTACTAAAGCGCTTTATTACAAGTATTTTTTCGAAGCTGATAATTAGAATAAGTATGCAATAGGTTTTACAGTTTTTAATGACTACTTTTCAGTTATGATAATTGTGACCTTGTCAAGAAAATAAGTTAGTGTTTATTATTGGTCATTTATCAATCCTCTATATGTTCGCATATCTTTCCGGTTGGTCACAAATAACAACAAGATTAACTAAAACTAACCAATCTATAGACCATCCATCATCTTATAACTATCACTTTTACTAGTATCATAGTTTTTGTAGTTTGATACATTCATACATTCTCCTTATTGTCACTGGTCATTGTTTTATAATAATATACGACCTCTTTCCTAGACACTTTATTTATTTATTGCTTATCTATCTTTTTTTGGGAAAAACAATCGAGAACAAATTAATACTAGTGTACTCGTACAGTATAACGTTGACTTAAGCATTAAAACACTCAACTAATAGAGAGCCTTATAACGTTAATAATATTTAAGCCCCGTAGAATCATCACAAGTCATAACTTGGTAACTCAATAACAGTAGGTTGTATCGACAGTAATAAGCGGATAATTATGATTCAGTCATGCCAGTTGTTTGTTTTCAGTACATAAATAGAACCACACAACAAAACATGAACAAAACACATGACTTCGCTTCATTCATTTACCTATTTCAATGATACTGACTAGCTAGGTTAAAGAGCAAGCATAACCCGTTTAAACTAGGTTTTTGAGACACCAAGATTTATGGGTAAACAAGATTTGATGTAACAGTTCTGTAACACAACAGTAAGCTTAATTAAAAGCAATGGTCAATGTGTCTAGTTTTTTTATGCAGTTGCTTATTGGTTAAAGCAATAGACTCATATTTTCTGTTTATTTTTATCTGAGAAACTAAATATATTCACTAGTTTTCACAGAAATAGGATATAAGCATCTGTACTTGACTAGTGAGTTGCAATAAATTAAATTAATACAGTTTATCATTCTATTAACACCGTTAGTCATTGATGTAACTAGACAATAAGGAAGCATAAAATGATTTAATTGGCAGATGTGTTTTAGTTATTTCATTTATTGTCAGTTTAATGCTAGTATGTCTTGTCAACTTAAAACTTTGAGTTTAACATTATGTTCTCTTTAGTATTATCGAATAAAAATGAACATTAGTTACTCTCGAAGATACTCCTGTTATTATCAGATTGTGTTCAAGAGGACAGAATGTACTGCCTTATTTATTCTACACTGTTGGAAATTTTCGAATGCCATTTTTTTCATCAAACAATTAATTGAAAAGAATATACAAATGTGAGACTACAGGGATACTCCTCATTGATCTCAACTTTCATATTAACTTAAAGGAGAGAAAAAAATTTTCAGATATTAATTGTAATTTTTAAATGTTCATGAAACATTTTCATGTTTCTTCTTATTTGTTCATAAACATGACACTTTTTTCAATATCTTCACTTAGCAAAGTATTTTTGTTTGGATACCTACAATTGATCAAAAAATCATAAATCCATTCGAACACGTGGAGTTTTTTTTTAAAAAAAATATTGTGCCCAATACCATGAAAAAATTCGTAAGGCAAAAATCACTGTACAGTCTTACTGCTACTTTAATCCATCTTTAAGAGTTAAATTTATTTCAATTGAGTGAGTCATTGTCAGGTTTTATTATCATTGTTTAGAAAAAGTAGGCGAGGCTGAGCGACTGAAAGAGAAAAGTATTTTATAGTTTTCTTTGTTTTTGATTGTCTCGCTTTTGACTACCAAGCTCTGTTTACCTTTTGACCTTTTCTTATTTGCCATCGTCACACCACTTATTGGATTCTGCCCCAGTTTATTTTCACTTCACAATGGTTTGTTCTGTGAATCAATAAAAGAGATATATGGGTCAATGTTACCTATTTCTAATTATATTGCATTCACAAAAACGAATAAACAATTCATCTGTACCTAGTCAACGAAATTTCTTCATCCGAAGCAAAGTATCGGAACATTGTATCAATAAAACAGGTCGAACAAGGGAAAGAGTAGGAGTAGTATGGCAAAAAATATCACTATTGGAGCATTTCCTACACAGGCTTTACAATAAAGATTATTGGACGTTTGTAATAAGATCCCTTCCAACATTACTAGCTGATAACAATAACTATTTATCGAAAATAACGATAGAGAAAAATGAATGTTGCTATTATTATGGCATTGTAGAGAAAACTTTTATGTAACCGAAAAGTTAATCTAGAATTCCACAGAAACGAGTTAAGAATAATTAATATGATTTATAGCATAACACCCATCCAATAACTTGTTTACTTGGCTTCACATATGCAGGTAAAAAATAAACGTCAGTGATTGGATGAGAGAGGATATCATCTATGCATTTAGATAAGGAGGTACAGTTTTAGACAAGAACACTAAAATTAAACAATATCGGAACCACACCTAAACAGTTCATGATGACTGTGTTGTAGACCAATTATTACAAGACTGGGAAAGAAAAATTGAGAACGAAGAGTGGAGCTGACATTGATTCTGATCACGACCTGGCAAATACCTCGATGAAACTAAATGTAATAATGCACTGGAAAACTGGGTAAACAGCATTACAAAGGTTTAATATAGCCTGCCTTCAAGATACTGATAGACTCTGCGAATTCAAGGTAGGTCTCAGGAACAGGTGTCAAGCCTTACAAGTGTTGTGCAGACCCTGGAAACTCTGGGAACCATATTTTCCACTAAGCATTCGATAGTTCTTCAAAAGCATCTGCAAAGTGAAAACTCACGCGTCACATTTCAGGTTGGACGCTTACCTATATTACTACTATGTTTATAAGGGTTCCAGAACTTCCCAAAAGCCCAGGCCATCTGAAATGCTATATCCTTGGTTTTCTGTACATTAAATAACCTTGGAGTGAAGCGTTCTTTCCATATTTCGAGTCTGTTTCTCGTGTTCAAGTTGCCGTGTAGATTTAGCCTGGGTTTACTAGAAGAGCCTTGGAAAGCGAATCAAGCGTTCAGTTAGAAGATTTATCATAAACATCTACTCAAGGTAGAAGAAACCGCTATGGGAAACAACGGAAAAGGAACCAAACAAGCAGTAACTTAAACATGGTAGGACGTGCTATGCCCCCAACAAGCACCAGCCTAGAGAACGAATGTCTACTGATACCTTTGGCAAGATTCAAAAAAGCATGAAGAAGAAGGCAGTAATCAACTACAGCCGAGTAAAAGTAGAGAAAGCCAAGGCACAAACCGAATACATAGAAGCAAATAAACCAGTGATTACGACTATTAGAGCTGATAAGCGAAAAATGCTACAACAGAAAGAAAGTACAACGAAGAAGCTAGCTGGAAGATACGGTAAACCAGAAAGGTCAGTCGAGGAGAAAGAAGACAAGCCAGTCAGTGAGATTCAAGAACAGAGGAACAGATTGGTAGAACAGATTTGAAGAGCTCTTGAATTGACCAGGTCCACTGAACCCAACGAACATCGAGGCAGCACACACAGACCTTCCTATATATTTCACCCTCACCAACAATCGGAAGAATCAGCATGTTCATCAGACAAATGAAGAGTGGGAAAGCAGTCAGAAATAGAAGTAACTGCAAACATGTTCACCGTTCTATTCAGGAAGATTTGGGAGTAAGAACAAGTGCCGATAAACTGGGTGCATGGATACTTCATCAAGATGCCAAAGAAAGATGAGCAAATGTGAGAACTATAGGGGCACCATGCTACTGTCAGTACAAGGAATGGTTTTCAACAGTGTTGTTGAACCATATGAAAGGCTCAGTAGATGTCCAGCTTCGAGATCAACAAACTGAATTCCGTAAGGGTCGGTCGTGCACAAACCATATCGCAACATTATTGAACAATCATTTGAATGGAACTCGCCACTATACTTTAATTTCCTTTACTATGAGAAAGCATTTAACAGTGTAGATGGCAGAACGTTTTGGAAACGTCGTCGACACTATGATGTATCTGAGAAGATCGTCAATATCATACGGAATTCACACGATGGACTACAGTACAAGGTGGTGGATGAAGGACAGCTCAAAAATGCATGTCAAGCGAGAACCGGTTTCAGACAGAGTTGCTTGCTCTCTGTCTTGCTCTTTCGTCGGATGGTTGACTAGATTATAGAGACCTACACATCTAAGAGGAAGCACGGAATTCAATGGACAGGTTGTATGTAACTAAACGATTTGGACTTTGCAGACGATCTAGCTCTTCTATCCCATGCACATCAACAAATGCAGGTCAGGACTAACAGTGTAGCAGTAGACCTCAATATACACAAGGGAAAAAGCAATATCCTCAAATTCAACACCGAACAATCACACTCGATGGAGAAACTCTAAGAGTGGTGGAAAATCTCACGTACCTGAGAAGCATCACCGATGGACATGGGAGATCTGATGCAGATGTAAAGCTAAGGATTGACAAAGCATGGGAAGTATTTCCACAACTGAAGAACATATGGAACTCAAGACAACAAGTATTTCTCAACAATTATCTACGTAAGATACTCAATATCCGTTAGTCGGGTATCACCAGCAACAGCCTACTATGGGAGAGAACAAACCAGGTCCCAACTGAAGAGAAAATTAGGGGAAGAAGTTGACAGTGAACAGGACAGTCATTGAGGAAATCATCACACACGTATCACGAGGCAAACGCTAACTTGAAATCCTGAAGGTGAAAGTAAAAGAGGAATACCAGTGAACACATTGCATCCGGATTAGAAAACACATCCAAAGAATGAATCTTGCTTGAGAAAAACTGAGAAGAAGAGCCCAGAACATAGTTGGTTGCCTAATCCCGATCGGCGGCATATGCTCCTCCACGAGGGGTAACAGGCGTATGTAAGTGCCGATGTGTTGACAAGTGTTTATCTTGTAATGGATTATCTTCCAAATCCCTTTTGAGGCTTCATGTATCAACTATCCTGATAACAATTATTAGGTAAATCTCAGTGGTGTGTAAATTGTAGAAAGCGACATGAAGCGTCGACCTTAGTCGATTACTGAATAGCTCAGATCACAAGCCACAAGCACACGAACGAAATCGAGCAGAAATGCTAATGAGTGAACAAGCGAATACACAGGTAATTTAAAAGTCATTTACTCATATTGGATCATTCAATTTTATTTGTTTTTGTAAACATTTAGTTGCCTTTCCCAGCCACATAGCTTGGTGGTGCCGATTGGCTTATCTGGACACATTGATGATATGGTACAACTGCTGGAACTCAATAGCTGTCTATCCCTTGATCTTGCCGTTTCTTATTTCACATCCAGTTATTGTGGACCATTTATGAGTCATATAGCAATGATCATATGTTTTATGTTTTCTTTTCTTATTCTTGACGATCGCCGAGACCCCAGTGTCTTTTGTTTGCCTATATTTCTTCTTTTCCTGCTAAAATTCTTTTATTTTTTGTAGATTGCATGTTTATATGTGTCTCATCAGTCATCCTTATGTTTTATTTTCTTCTGGATAATCTTCTATTGGATGTGCATATATGTTTTTACGATTTCTGTTCCTTTATTCCAATGATCACTTCTGAAGATACGATGTATCTCTTTATTGGGAGTAAAAAGTCGATTGCAGTTTCTACTTAAAAATGTGATTAATAGCTCTCGTTTTTGAACTATGGTGGGTTTATAATGATTATCAGCTTTAATTTATACGGACTGTTCAACTAGTTATTAGTTAGTTGTTTGTTAAGTGTTTGTAAATCTGCTGTATTTGTCTGATCCAACCTCTTCGTATGGGATTCTCGCACCAGAAGTTTGCATTCTATCTTGCTGTCAATCACTTTGCACATATTGTTGTTCTCTTTTGTGATTGGCTGTTTGCCATGAGTTCGGTCAGTTTTGTCAGATTTTTTCAGTTAATGTTCTCTTTTAACTCATTTACTGCTTGTTTTTGCTTTTTATTTTTTATTTCTAAAATCACCCGTGTCGCAGTTTTTAACATTTTCTAGTTTCATTGAATCTTTTTCTGGACTATACTACTAAAATTTCAATGATGGTTAATTGCTAACCGCGAGTTTACTCACAAAGTGACTATGACATTTTTGAAATTTTCTTGTATAATATACCTTCTAATTTAAATTTTAGGAGTTCAGTACTGGAGAACTCATTTGCACTGAAGTGAGTTTTTTTCTTAATAAGTGTATATCGATTCATTTTTTTGTGGTATACCTCTTTCCTGGGTATTTTTTTGCATTAAGAGTCATCTATACATTATTTTACAATTGTTTACCAACAACAGTTTATTTGAATCCATCGTTTTAAAGGTCTCGCTTTCATAGTTCTTTCTCTTTCATGAGTAATCGTCAAATGACAATATTTATTGATAGGCATCATTTGGTTATATTTTTTGTGTCGTCGCAAGTAATTTTAAGATTTATTGCTGTCTTTAACTAGAGTATGACTATTTTTTAAAATCATTTGTATTTTCCCATCAAAAATTACTGTATTGGTTACTCAATCAAAATGGCCGTTTTTTTATCTCAATGAAAACGTAGATACTTGAGTGGCACGAAAGGATCTACGGGTCGACTAATGGTTAGCTTAAATTGTAAAGTTACGTCGTATACAGAAAGAAACCGACTGATGTTTTTAAGTCCATGCCACAAAATAACTAAAGATATCATTGCAGTTCGCCTTTGACTATTGACATAACATTACACTATGGTTTATAATCTATTTATCTATCGCAAGAATTTTTTGTCTCTTCACCGTCATACATTTATACTCGGGTAGGACAATTTACCATTCTATAATTACTTTTTTGCAAAAATTCCTGTAAACTAATTACAATATCGATGTTATTTCAAACTAATCACCATTGACATTAATATATGAGGACTTTTTCTCATCTTATAAAAGCTGTTGTTTATTTCTGGGTTTTAGACTCCAAAACCTGAGAGTTTATTTATGGTTTGCTATACAAGTGGAAGTACAGGTTAGTTTAATGACGCTTTTGCGCAAAACCTTCTCAATCATTACTTTATTTGATTATTTATTCCGAAACTAACAATTTAATTATGGGTTACTTGTTTATTAGTTGCAAATTCACCAGTGTTACACAATTTGGCTAGTTGAAATTCACTGGATCGGAAAGTTCCAGCTATCTCAAAGTACTGAAGAGATTTCTATACGGTTAAGAAATCTCGAAAATAATTTTCATTGCTCTAAGGCTATTCTTGTGTTTTATCATTGAAAATTTGATTAATCTCGCAATACAAAAGTTAAAGAATTTAATTCAATTCGGTTATGTACTCGCTTTTGATGCACTTTTTGTAATAGTAAATGGCACTAACCAGCTCTCACCATTTACAAATTTCATGCAGTCTAGAAATACCCTGAAATGTTGTTGTGGTTGATGTTCTCAAGTACTTATTATTAGTGATATTAGTCATGCATCTACACTAAGAACACTTTTACCTTCTAATATTTGATCTTCAGTTTTTTGTCAATTTCAAATGATTAGTTTCTTTTCTAAACTCACATTTATGCTCAGGACACTGTATTCTTGTATTCAAGTTATCAACTCAGACGGCGCGATGCATAAACGAAATTTCAAGGTATTCGTTGTACCAATTGCTTACTTGTAAAGTGACTATTAGAAATCATAAATAGCTGGTCTTTCGCACAGTAAGATACGTATTCACACGAGAAGCATCGGTTCCCTCAAGGTTTTGGGTGTACCTTGCTGACGAATACGAGTTAGCAGAAAACTTGGGTCAGTGTTTTCCTTCTTACAAACCTTCTGACGATTTTTGGTGCCTTATCCAATTGAATAATAATTAAAAAACCTCAAATTTCTTTGATACACAAAATCTGTCACGTCAAATGTAAACAACAGTAAAATTAGTTCATTTCAAGTTGAAGGAATGGTATAAGTGCAGTGCATGGTGAAAAAGAGAATCGATCGACTTTTTTTCACATAAAAGTCATATCTTTATTTGTAATTATCAAGTGCATCTATAGCATAAACCTAAATAAATGTAAACTGTCATGATCTCACAAAAGTTTAATTTCCTTAGTAAGGTATTTATTATTATTATTATTATTATTATTATTATTATTATTATTATTATTATAGGCATTCCCAAAGGGGTGAAAATCACACATCAATGTGTTGTAAAGACCATTCAAAGTTTATTTCAACGACTTGAAGGAGATGTGAGTGTAAAACATTAAGATTGTATTTATTCATTTTGTTTTACATCAAATAAATAGAAAAAAGCTTTTGTTTAGGTGATTTTCTTCTCTTGTATGAATGTATTAGCTCGTGAGATTAACCGTGAGACATGAGTCTGAGTATCGATTCATTCGCCCAGACTCTCTATGTGGTACCAATGACCTGTAATCGCCAATCTGTTCAAGTAGTTTTATATTTTGCAACGTAATTTTTAAAAAATATCTTGAATTAAATCAGAATTGTCTCATATGTTTGCTTAACATGTTATCAAAGGTTATGTTCATCAAACGAATAGCTATCAGGACTCAGCTAAGTAGATAATGCGATGGCATTTAAAGCGAACGGTACTGGGTCCGAGTCTCGGAAGGAACATCAACTCTGGAATGCAGGTACATCCAGCTGACGAGTCCCAAATAGGACGAAACGCGCGTCATGGATTCCACTGCTAGCCCCTATCCGTCTTCGCTCACCAGTATATTGGTTTTTCATGTTTCCAGCGTTCCAATTACTATTATTATCTTTTTGAATATTTTATGCATGATTGTTTCCCGTACAACAAGACAATGCTCGGTGAAATAAACACACCTGCCTTCATTTTAAATAATTTTTTCTTCATTTCACTGTGAAGGGGACTTCATTTCTGCTGTTTTTTGAGTTAAATGTGTAATTTTTACTATGACTACTGCGCTTTTTTAAAAATCTGTTATTTGTGTTAGCACGCTTTTTGAGACACAGCACGGTATTCGATGATTAATTAACTATTGCTTTCAACCGCAAGTTAGATTGAAATGACAGGTGCTAGTATTTATCAGAAAATTTGCTATAAATATAATTTAGCATTCTGGTTATGAAACATCAATGATATCACTGAAGTTTCAGTGCTCAGATATGAAGTGCATCCCGTAGTTTCTGTTTCGTTTGTAATTTAATGCTGAACTGTGATGTGTGCTACTTATGTCAACATAAGTATACATAACGCTAGTCAGGAGTAGAATGTCTGGTAGCATAAGGTCAAAAGGATCAAGGAGGAAAGAACGAGAACAGAAAGCAATTGGTATGGAAATGCAGGAACGATCAAGTCTGAGACAAATAATGAACGTTTTGTAAATGAATTATTTACTGTATAGTTCTCAGATTTTTCTAAGACGTTCTGTAATTTTGTGTCCCATTTGTGTTCTCGTTGACTACAAACTACGTTAAGAAGCAGTCGTATAACTTTTTTCCTCATTTACTAAGAAGTATCTATCATCGGAATTAGTAGTCATTTTGACTTTTTTTGGTACTTCGACTTCTGGTGGTTTGGCTTTTATTCACTGAGCTTTCATCTAATATATTTCAAGTTTGTAACCTGCTCCACAAACAACATCTGAGTATAATCAAAATCATCAAACAAACTGACATCTCTGTTTATTTATTTTTGTTCTCTTTAAATGTTATGGAATAATCAACTTATTTTGCAAAACCGACGCTATGTTAAACAGTCATCTTCTCTAGTAGTCACTTAATGACTCCTTTTTATACTTGATCTTGCACTATCATGTTTTAATAAAATTACAATTCATGGTATTTTGTTTATTAACAGATCTTTAATAATACTGCTTCACATCTATCTTATTTACCTTTGGCTCATATAATGGAACAAATGATTTCTGTAAGTTAGTAGATGTTAAACCTGCAATCTTTTTCTGAATGGATGTGTGATATGTACGGTAGTTAAATATTTTTACCTTACCATACAAGTTCATGTGCAATGGAAAATCTGTTTAGATTTTTGGTCACTTGCATAGAGAAGCAACATTGAACCAAGAACTGATTAACAAATTATTTTCATTTTCTATAAAATATTACCCGGTCGTTTCATAAGTTTCGCATTTATATTGAAGCCGTTTGGAAGAACAAAGTAGATGTTTGTTTGTGGTGACCGTAATATAGACAAACATAAACAATTTAGGACCTGGTGCAAATGCGTCGTTCGTTCGTGTTACGACACATCATATCTATTCACTGGGGTAGAAAAGGCCTGAAAGAATGTAAATAAGGATACCGACAATCGAGAAGGAATAAATCAATCAAAGAAGGCATTAGCAGACCTTATATCACTGCATGAACTATCTTTCGAATATTAGTTTATATTCCAATTTTGCCGTCAAAAGTTATAGTTTTCAGCTCGTTGCAAAGAACGTTTTAGTACCCAAGGTACTAATCAACCCTTCTTCGAATGAAAACTTATGTCCAGACAAAACTGATACGGTATATATTTGATGTTTTGTGAAGTTTACTGCACGACCTATTTCGTGATTTCTTCCCATAGGTTCTACAATCTGTCTAGCTCTACAAAATATTCCAAGTGACTTGTATGATCACTTTCCTGAATTCACTTTAAACGATCATCTTTGTGGAAGTTTAGTAATTTTACAACCTTTTGTGTATTAATTCATGGAAGGCAGTTTTGTCTACGTAGTCTATGTAGATAGATTGCACGAATTTTTGGTTAGATAGATCATATATCGTTTATAATTTCACCAGTTAATTGAAAACCAAACAGCATTAGCAGACGTAACCTTAGAAAGACTTCTTCCAGCTCGCCTGGTAAGTGTTTGATGTGGTTGAACGGAATACCGGAGCCTAAGAATACTATTCCTATCCAGTCATTCCGAAACTGAACTCAGTTGAGAACAATTGTATTTAAAATAGTTTATTACTCAAGAACTGAAATTGTAATGGGATACAATATGAATGTTCGCAATGCACAGTCACCTGATCGTAAAGTCTGTGAAGTTAGTTCAACAGTAAAGGCTCGTGATAACTCTGAGCGTATTACTGCTCACTCTGCAACAAATCAGTCACACCCAACCACCAAGAAATTATGGTCAACCAACGTAGTTGCAGCACAACTAAACATGTGTCAGGTGCTGATCTCTTAACCCTTACTTTCCTTATCATTCATGATCACTTAAGTTTTTGAGCTGTATTGGTAGGTGCAAACCACTTGGTTCAAGCTCGCATTATGATCGTGATCCGCAGTTGGAAAACATATCCGGTATATCTCAAAATCGGCCACAGTAACGCAAATGGATTCACTGTCTGTTTTCTAGATTTTAAGTTTCATTGTTATTTCATGCTTAATTCATGCCTTAGATCATATTCTTTACCTCCAGTTTTCTTTACTACCACTTTTCCAACTCATTTGTCAATTATGTTTTTAATTTCAACCCATTATCTTAAATAAGTGTAGCGGCTTGAGTCAATATACGTTTGTGCTAATTCTTACGTTGTTTATGACCGACTGAGAAATGGTCAGAATTACTATTATATCTCTATCATCTTATTGCTCCTAAGGTTAAAAGGAAATTGTGAGTTATCCTAGGTGAAAAAACGTGATTTATCGTGTTAAAAATCCTACTTTTCTGGCATTAATGCCATGATAAAGTAGAAAAACATGATGCAACTGGTCATGGCCAATTCAAAAGTTGAATATTGACTAGATGTGCAAGTCGACTACTTTAATTTATGGTGTTTGTTTTAAAAAATTGGACTTAAAATTGCTAATTAGCTCTTATTTTATTGGTGTCTATGATATTGATGACAGCTACCTAGAATATTTCTGATTGATAACACCAGTATATACCAATAATGATTATTAAAGCTAAGTAGAATTTTGAATCACACCACATAATTACTGGTTCACTAGTCTATCAACTATGAGTGTCGTTTGATGATAGAATTTCAGTTTGACATATTTTTATTATTTCGGGATCTTTAGACGATCTCTCTGTGTCACTAGTAATTGTCACTTTCTTGTTTGTTTTCTCTGCAAAGCTGTCTACTCTCTTGGTTGGCGCGAGAATCGGTTTTCTAACCAAGAATATTCAAGGATTACTAGCCGATTTACAAGCTGTCAAACCACATTTCTTTTTCACTGTTCCTCGTGTTTTATCTCGATTGTATTCCGTTGCAATGGAAAAGGTTTCATCTGTTCCTTTACTACCTAGCATATTCCATTATGCAGTTGAATCTAAAGTTGCAGAACAAGAAAAGTAAGTGAATAATTTACACTATCATTACAGTTAAACCGTAATCAATTTTGGGTATGCAAGTGATAGATCCAATGACCTTTTCATCTTATTATTAGCGTTCTCCAATCTGCTTTTATTCTGTTTAAAGCTGAAGACTTCTCAGTTGTCTATGTGGTTATCTTGACAAGCTAGCTACTCGACTGTGTTCCATCTTCTATCATTTCTCTTCTATTATTAATCATAGTAGACTTCTTTATGCTTCACTTGACAGATTGTCTACTAACAGATAGTGCAGTGAATTACTGTGAAAAATTCATTTGCTACCTACCTCTAAATTGGTTTCATCAGCACATATTTCCATGTATAGTAGTATTAAAGCACAAAAAAAGTGAAAACTGTTGTGAATATAAATAAAAATTTACGATTAATCTATAATGTCTTGTTTTCTACAGTGATGAGTTGATCCGTTTTTTAATAGGATTTTATTCCAAATCTACATCGTCGTATAATTGTACATATCAACATTTATTATCTTGCTTGGTAGTGATCGATATTTCTATGAGTACTGACTATGAAATTTCAGATTTAAACAAAATGTGCTTTTTGAAAATCAGAGTAACCTTTCTGGTCAACATCAAAGACATCTGACGAGTATACAACGTACTGGTAACGGCAGTGCTGTTTTATCCTTGTGTAAACTAATCCTTCCTAGCTGAGGATATTCAACAGCGCACTGTTTCAATCATTTTTATTTTCAAAGGATTCCTCGTAGCCAGTGGAATCATTGAGTAAGCTATTCTGAGGTCTCGAGGTTAATGTTTTGACGTAGTAGCGGCAGTTTACCTAGTATAACTATCTCAAAACACTTGCGTTTTCAGCTCGAATATGTGTCACAAATTCTATTTCACTAACTTCCACATCGTGCATTATTTACCGATTGTGGGACACAGAGGAAAGAGTTAAAATGAGCATATATAACATTATCTAGTAGTATGAAAGATGGCATATGTTGATTCAGCAAGACTTCATGTTTTCAGATTGCTTATATTAAAAGATAACACTATTTGCATTCTGATCGTGTTAAATCTTTCATCGACTTCAATTAACTAGATATATATTTAACTCATAGAATACGTTATATATTCCCTTCATTAATCTAACTATTTAACTTGTGATTAGTTGTTAATTTGGTCGCTTTTGCCCAATAATATGATTTCCTTCCAACACTATATGTCGTCTTACGAATAAAGCGCTTTTTTAACTATTGATTTCAACCGCAAGTTAAATACTTCTTAGTACTTGTTAACTGAAATCTGAAAAATACTGGAACACCTCCCAGTGATAAAAATTATTTTGTTTATGGTCACTTCATAGTGTATATTAGAAAATAACATGAATTCTTGTTTCATAATCGGATTAGCTGCTTTCAACTGCTTGCGTACTTATTGTTGTTTCTTCCCTTCTGCAGTCATCAAACACTAGGATAATAAGTATATACTGTTAAAATCTGTAAAGGTTAACCATTTCTTTAACCCGTACATTTTTTTTACCATTTATCAACCAAGTTTTTGTTTCTAACTAAACGGTTGGATTCATTAGGGTATAACAACTACTCTGTCGACAACAATTCCTTTGCACGTAAAGTCTCACATAATCAATTCGTATTAGCCTTCGTCTTAAAAATACGATAGACCGAAATAAAAGCCGTTGTTGCTTAGCCGAATTCATGCTAGTATTTATAATGACTGAATACAATTCAGCAACTGCTCACTCATCAGATAGTGAAATAAAATTTGCTCGTCACCGTTTGTGTTTACAGGGAGTAGAACAGTGAACTATTAGTTTAGAGTTCAAATTCTCAAGCTGGCCGTCAACCAGACTTCTTCAGAGCTTCAGTCAATCTCACTTAACTGCATTACACAATCTTCCAGTAAGATCAATTCAATATTCTGTTTTGTTGCAGTTTATGTAATTCGGAAATGATTTTTTTCATTGATCATATCCTGTAAAGAAGATATTCTTAAATTATAAAGCACTATTTAACACCTAACCTAAAATTTGTAACTCCTCTGATGGCATCAGCTGCCGACTAGGAAGTTCCAAGTAACTGTGCCCTGAGCTATCCTTTCTAATTACTGTTAAGTGCTTTTCATGGTCTTGATATCTGCCTCCGATCTCCGTTGCCATCTATTTTAAGATCTGCATCTAGTCCTTGTTTACTGAAAATTTCGTGTTGGAGTCTGTCTTGTCATTCAGCTTATTATTTTCCGTAAAGTTGATGCTATCCACCTCCAGCGTCTTTTACTTGCAGCTGGTTTGTTCTCTGTCAGAGTAGATCGTTGCTGATGATCTCTGTCCTATTTTACTTGAATACTTTGCATAGACAGCTGTTTATGAATACATGCAATTTATTAATGATGACTATGGTTGTGGTAGTTCTTCACATTTCAGCTCCGTGTTGTAAAACTGTTTTGAATTTAGTGTTGAAAATTTTGACCTTTTTGTTAGGTGATAGTTGTTTGACTTTCAGATCTTCATTCGTAGAGATGTTGCAATTACTTTAGAAATTTGTGTCTTGATACATACATCAGATGCCGATTAATGTAAAACAATTAGTCCCTTTGATAAATTTCGATAATGATATTAGAAGACGAAGATTATCACAACTATGTGATATATTAGCGCAATACATTTCGAACAATCTGGTCACATATACTTGTTAAGAGAATTTATATATAAAAATAAAAGGTCAACTAGACGGGAAACGGGGTAAGAGGAGATAAGGGTAATGATAAGAGTAATAATAATAATAATGTGAACACAAAGCGAAACCTAATCACTCTAGATAATAAGTCAATATTACCAGGGTAGGTTTAAGGTAAGAACAAACTGTTTTTGAACACATAAAGGGGGTTTGAATTTTCGTATGGCTAAGGCTTCAATGAACCTTAGTATACGCCCTTTTACACTTTTATACAGCACTACAAAAGCTGCATTTAGATCAATCTTGTAACCTGTTTCAATTATATGTTTAGCAATAGAGGATGATGGATGTTTATCCTCTGCTCTTATTGGGTCACTTGATTGTATTTGTTTCTGAAGCCATTTGGGTACATGTTCACTCACCCTAATGTTGAGATCACGATTACTCCTCCCTATGTATGTGTGACCACACACACATTTAAATTGGTAGACACAGTAGGATGTGACGCAATCGTTTCCATATACTTTAGGTTTTGAATGAAGCATGCACCTTGTTCTTTCTTTGATGATGACCTTTGCTGCGCAATAGGTTTTATTGATGACTGATTTAAGTCGTTGTTTCAGTAAAAGGCTATTTGAATCACGTCTGAATGGTAAGGTGATGTAGACAGGCTTTTTCTCTACCGAGGCTACAGTAGGTCTCGCTGTACCATGGACTTTCCATCTATTTATGAATTTCAGAGGATAGCCATTTTCTATTAACGTTTTATTTAACAACTTAACATCATCAACAATGGCGTCATTGGTCCCAGTAAATCCTGAAAAGTTTGTCACTACTTTATCCTTCATTGTATTATCTGCTAATGAAAAGGAAGCCCTTTCTCTTGGTTTTATTTTCTCCGTCTTTATAACGCAAATGTCTGAATTGGAAATAAATGCCCAGTTTGAAAATCTATATGATCAACTGAGTACTCTAACCCCTACGTCTTCAAATAATCAAAGCTGGTGTAAAGCTAAACTAGTGGATATAGCACACCAATATCATAGTGTTGGCCCGAAGCAGAGAAGCATATTAACTTCTCAGCATTTTAAATCATTAAAAGAACTACGATCAAACTCTGATATTGTCTTGTTAAAACATGATAAAGGATCAGGCGTAGTTATCATGAATAAATGTGAATATAAAAGTAAGATGTTATCTTTCCTTAGAGATGAAAGTAAATTTATGCATGATGTTGAATTCAGAGGTATCAGCAAACTAGAAAGAAGAGTAAATTCAAACCTAGGAAAATTGCTTCTCATGAATGTTATTAATAAAGGGGAATTTCACTTTCTAAAACCTATGGGTTCCGAGTACCCTCATTTATATGGACTGCCTAAAATTCACAAACCTAATGTTTCTTTACGTCCAATTCTATCAATGTGCAGATCACCTACACATAATCTGGCTAAATGGTTAGCAAAGTTGTTGGATCCTATTCGAAGACATTTATGTAAGTATTCTCTAAAGGATTCTTTTGAACTGGTTGATCATTTAGATGATATTAATATCAACGAAAAGACAATGTCTTCATTTGATGTAAATTCCTTGTTTACAAATCTACCTTTAAAAAGACCATTGATATATTATGTGATTACATATCTGAAAACAATTTTCAATCACATGTACCTGTAAAACTTCTTAAAGATTTACTATTACTATGTACTGACAAAGTTCAGTTCACTTTTGAAGGTGAATACTTTCGTCAGATTGATGGAGTTGCTATGGGTAGTCCGCTAGGACCATTACTAGCAGATGTGTTCATGGCACATGTTGAAAATCAGACTGATGAATTAATCGGAAACATGTCACTTTATAAGAGATATGTGGACGATATCTTAGTTGTTTGTGAGAAAAAAGAGGATATGTACGGTTTATTAAATAAACTCAACACTCTCCAAAACCATATTAGTCTCTCATGTGAAGAGGAGAAAAACGATCAGCTTCCCTTCCTAGATATGCTCCTGAGTAGACGAGAAGATGGTTCAGTAAAGCGTTCTATTTTTAGAAAACCAACGTGGATAGGTCAATATCTTAGGTATTATAGTTATTACCCTGTGCAATACAAACGTGGCTTGATAAGGTGTCTTTTCAACAGACTCGACCGTATTTGTATCAATGACGCCATTGTTGATGATGTTAAGTTGTTAAATAAAACGTTAATAGAAAATGGCTATCCTCTGAAATTCATAAATAGATGGAAAGTCCATGGTACAGCGAGACCTACTGTAGCCTCGGTAGAGAAAAAGCCTGTCTACATCACCTTACCATTCAGACG